CCAATACTGTATACTTGCTCATAAGTATAGATGTAATTCATTCATTTTTACTAGATGATAAGTATCCAATTGTAAGAATAAACTAGCTTATTCACTTTTCTTCTAATGTACAGATGGATTTAGTAAGTTGCTGTAATCACTCACCCTTGCTATATGTTTGTTTGAGAAACTGCCCTAAGTTTAGAAAGGAAATTGGCTCCATAAAAATTCAGGCTGTGGGGAAAAAAAAGAATCCTGAAGTGAATGTTAACCCATCCAGATGCCAACACTAGGTCTAGCTCTAAAACTACCACCTTCCTGATACAGAAGTTGTGTGAACTTAAGAACTGCCTCAGAAGAAAAGTATTTAATAACATAATAATAAAAGGAAATATGAGTGGGTTAATATGTGGAAGTAATGACATTAAAGCTAATCTTCTTACTGAGCATAATTCACTGGCAGAAAAACACTCTATCACAAGGTCACACAAACTCTTTTTCTCATTAGAATTGAGAAAATTACACATTCTTCAAATTTAAAAAACTATATAATAACCCAAAGAAGTATACAATACTTCACTGATTTAAATAGTTTTGTTCAACCCACTTGGATCAACTAGTTTAGTTCATCTACATTCAGAAAAACATCAAGACATAAATTAAACTGGTTACTAGAGGCTCATGCCTGTAACTAACTATTCAAGAGGCTGAGATTTAGAGGATTGCAGTTCCCGATCAGCCCAGAAGAAAAAAGCCCTTGAGAAATAACCAGAAAAAAAGCAGGGCTGGATGGATAGCTCAACACCAAGCAAGCAAGCCAAGTAAGTATAATGTTTTGAATTCAAGCCCTCTTGGCCCCAAACCCGCAAAATGACATGATCTACAGATACCATCATCAAATATACCTTGAGGAAAAGGAGATACAGATGAGTGTAATACTATAAAAGAACCCAGTCATAGTTTGTTGCTATTTTATTTGTGGTTACCAGGCATTTTCTTAAACACTGATACCTTAAAAATCTACGACTTTGTTATGCCTAATAAGGGAATCATTTGGTCATTAGTGGAAAGAGATTTTTAAAAATCACTAAAAACACAAAACTCTAGCTGGGTACTAGCCGCTTACACCTACAATCCTAGCTACTCAGGAGGAGATCTGAAGATCTCAGTTCAAAGCCAGCCTGAGCATGAAAGTCTGTGAGACTCTTATCTTCAATTAACTACAAAAAAACAAAAACAAGGCTGGGAAGTTGTCTCAGTGGTAGAGCGCTTGCCTTGCATGCATGAGGCCCAGGGTTTGATTCCTCAGCACCACATAAGCAGAAAAAGCCAGAAGTAGCGCTGAGGCTCAAGTGGTAGAATGCTAGCCTTAGGCTGAAGAGCTGAGGGGTAGTGCCCAGGCCCAAAGTTCAGGCCCCACAACCAGAAAAAAAAAAGAAAGAAAGAAAGAAAAAGAAAAAAAAACCAAAAACTAGAAGTAGAGCTGTGGCTCAAGTGGTAGAGGACTGCCTTGAGCAAAAAAAAAAAACAAAAAAAAAACTCAAGTGCCCAGAGTTCAAGCCCCAGAACATGCACAAGAAATAAAATAAAAGAAAATAATACTCTAAAACTCCCACAGTTGGCTCAGTTACTCAGGGGACTGAGATTTGAGGATTGAAGTTGGAAGCCAGCCTATACAGACAAAACCAAGGAACTCTTATCTCCAAAGAGATAAAGCTGGAAGTAGAGCTGTGGCTCAGGTAGTATGGAAAAGCCATGCAAAAGTGCAAAGCTCCAGTCCTGGCAACAAGAACAAAAAAAAAAAACAACGCAAGAAAATCTCTAGTGTATGTGAGGGGAAAACTGGGAGAAAGTAAAGGAACAGTAACAAGAAATATACTCATGCTGGGAAGGTGGCTCAGTGCTAAGAGTGCTTGCCTCCCATGCATGAAGCCCTGGGTTCAATTTCTCAGCACCATATAAGCAGATAAAGCTGGAAGTAGCACTGTGGCTCAAGTGGTAGAGCGCTAGCCTTGAGCTGAAGAGCTGAGGGACAGCGCCCCAGAGTTTAGGCCCCACAACTGACAAAAAAAATTTTTTTTTAATATATATAGAGAAATATGCTCATTACCTGACCTATAAAACTGTAATCCCTTCACACAATCACCTATATAGTAACAATTAAAAATTGTGGAAAAAATAAAAGAAAATCTCCATTATTTAATAGAATAGAATGTGTTTAATTCTGCTTTTTTAATTTTTTTTTATTTTTATTTTTGTCATTGTGGGGCTTGAACTCAGGGCCTGGGCATTGTCCCTGATTTGAAACTAAGGCTCTACCACTTTAAGCCAGAGTGCTACTTCCTAATTCTGCAAAATTTTTAAAAAGTAAAATGATTTTGGAGTTACTCAGCTCTTCAAAACATCAAAGCAACCTGGCACTCATGGTTCATGCCTGTAATCTTAGCTACTCAGGAGGCTGAGATCTGAGGACTGCGGTTCAAAGACCACATGGGTAAGAAAGTCTATGAGACTCTTATCTACAATTAACCACAGAAAACAGAAAGTAGAACTGTGGCTCAAAGTGGTAGAGAGCTAGCTTTGAGCAAAAGAGCTCAGGGACATTGCTCAGTCCCTGAGTTCAAACTCTATGACGAAACAAACAAACAAAAAAAAAACATCAAAAAACATCAAAGCAGGCCTTCAGCAATCACAAAAACCATTCCATCTTCCTTCAGTTTTTCAACTTATCCATACCTAGTCTCATATCAGTACAAAATTAGAGAAAGTTACTGTAAACCAGTGATAGTCTTCAGAAACACTTTTAGAAGGGACCTGGCAAAAATTGCTTTAAACCTGTTTTTCATGAAAAAGTAGGAGATGAACAGTTCTCTTTCCACCTTATCACACAAAAACTGAAATCAGGATTCTTTAAAGTTCTTAACAAATTCTTTCTTCTTTAACAATCAAAATATCCAACATAAGAGCAGGTATTTTACAATCTCACCACTCAGGATGCTGAGGAAGGAAGATCAAAAGTTTGATGCCAGCTGAGAACATGGTACAGTGGTAAAGCACTTGAGTTTGATTTTCAGCACTACAAAAACAAAAAACAGAGGGGGGAGGCTGGGAAGGGATGTGAAGGGTAAACCAAAGGAGGAGGCTGCAATGCTTGGTAAGAAATGTACGCATTATCCTGCCCATGTAATTGTAACCCCTCTGTACAGTATGTTCACAAATTAAATTAAATTAAATTAAAAAAAAAAACAGAAACAATTCTAGGCCAAAAATATACAGTAAGACCCTGTCTCATAACAAAAAAGACCAGAATGTTTCAAATTTAGAAAGAATTTGGGCTGGGTTAAAGGAATAACTCAAATGGCAGAACACCTGCTGAGAAGGCATAAGACTCTAAGTGCCATGAATTCAAATTTCCTAGAGTTCAAATTGCCAAAAGAAGAAAAAGAGGAAGAGGAGGAAGACATGAAGTACAAATCTATTTTTTTTCTCAAGGCTATGCTCTACCAATTGAGCCACAGCTCCACTTCCAGCTTTTTGGTGGTTAAATGGAGGTAAGAGGTTCACAGAGTTTCCTGTTCAGGCTGGCTTCACACGAGGATCCTCATATCTCAGCCTCTTGGGTAGCTAGCTAAAATTACACATGAGCTACCAGGACCCACACTAAATCAATTTTAAAAACAAACTTTAAAAATCAATGGATTACATTATGCTACTCATTTTCCCCCCAAAATATCTGCTTGATCCTTTATTTTTCAGACCATTGTCTTTCCAAATTTTGACATTATGAAATGGCTTTCCTTTTTTCTTGCTGCGACTTTGAACCTTGAATACCCATCAACTCTAATCCCAGTGTAGGAAGTAAGAAATCATCTTTTCTCTAAATATAAATACCATGAAAATACCTAGAAAGTCTCCTTGATTTAAGAAAATGAACTATAGATGTTCTAGTAAAATATTAAGCTAATATGCCCGCCAGTAGGGAGAAAAAAAGAGTTATGATGTAGTTGGCTCATGTTGTAGTGGAACAACAATTATAAAAGGCATTATTAATATGTACTGAACCTAGAGTGAAGGACACCTGCGATCCCTCCTGAAAGAGAATGATGGCAAATTGGAGGCGAGGCTGGACTACAAGAGTTCAGGTCACCCTGGGCCATATATACTAAGACACTGTATTCATACAGGTATACATATGTAAAGTTAATATGCACTGAATATTTACCATGATTAAGGCTCTGCAATAAATATGATGTGAACCACTGCATATAAGGTATTAATATCAGGAAAGCGCTTTTATTTCCAATTTAGACATAAGGAAACAGGTAAAGAGGTTCAATAACTTGCTCAAACAAAGATGTAAGTGGATGTGACTCAAGGTATGTCCAGATCTTAATCACTAAACTTGTATTACTGCAATTTATTTCAAAAGCCAATTCTTCACTGCTTTAAGATTCATTAACTCAAAGATCAAGTGGTCACCCCAAATCACACATATGTAAATATGTTATATAATTATGTTATACATAAAAATTGTGACCAACTGCTTTGCTGAATTTTTGTACCTGCTCAAAATAAGCATAACATCACAGTCTTTCGTTCCTTGTAGCTGTTAGAAGAGCATTTACAACTCACAGATATAAAAGCAACAGAGTAAATGTCTTCATTTGGGGACAGCACTTATTTCCTCCTCCATCCTAAACCAGAAAGAAAATGCTCTTCCTAAGCAGCAGTTCACTTCTACTAGTCTACAACGGTGTCTCCAACAATTACCTGGAGGAACAACGCCAGCCTGCGGGACCTTTCTTTCATGATCGTCCCTATGTTCTTTTCCTGTCTTAAGAACGCCTTACAACTTTACCTATTACTTAATCTGCTAGAGGATTTGGCTAAATTACTAATATAATTTTCTTCCACCACCACCAGCAGCCCCCCTTCCCGCAACTGTCTTTTCAAGCCCCAATAGCTTGGGTACACTCCTCACCGGGATTTGTACTCTGGGGCAACTCTCCCGGCTCACTCACCGAAGTCTAGGGGCAGGGACCCCGTCTTTTCGGCTCAGCTCCTACTATGGGCATGTAATAAATTCTCGGGAATGAATGGGTGTAAAGAAGCCGTGGGTGGCGGCGAAAGAGGGGACGAGAAGGAATCCCACGCAGTTGAGACTACCGAAGTGGCGCCAGTCCTGAGAAGAGCGGGACCGGGAAGAGAGGGAGGGCCGGGGCCCGGACTGGGGCCCAGGCCGGGGCCGGGGCCAGGGCCCCGTCCCGGGCTCCCCCACGGGCTCAGGCGCCTGCCGGTCGGTGGGACGCAGGGCTGGAAAGACGCGGGCGCTGTCTCCGCAGGCCACCGCAGCGCGCACCGGGCCTCGGCCCGAGCCGCCGGGTCGCTCCCGGATCCCGGACCCCAATGTCCCGCACACAGGAGGTCCCGGCGGGCCAGCCCTCGGAAGCCAAGGGCCGTCCGGGAACCCGCACTCGCTCACCTGAAGCTCCACCGGCAGCGCCGCGCTGAGCTCTGGACGCAAACCCGACAGCCCCGCGGATTCGCGAGATCAGCTGATTCACAGGGGCGGGGCCTCAGGCCGGGGCGGGGCCGGACAGTGGCTAGGCGAGGGGAGGGGGCGGGAAAAGACTGCTACCAGAGTAGGAGGGGTTCGGCGCCAGAGACGGTCGACGGCGTCTGACTGGGATCAAAATTATTCAGATTGCGTCAGGCACTGCGAACTGAAATATGGGCAACACCGCCTTACCCGAACCGCCAGTCCCTGAGCGCGCTTCAGCGGTGATGCAACACGTAGTCATCCGGGCCTCACCAGCATTTCCATGGCAACGGGCGGCCCGGAGCGTGTGTGTGTGTGTGTGTGTGTGTGTGTGTGTGTGTGTGTGTGTGTGTGTGTGTGTGTGTGTGTGTGTGTGTGTGTGTGTGTGTGTGTGTGTGTGTGTGTGTGTGTGTGTGTGTGTGTGTGTGTGTGTGCGTTCTAATCTTTTTGCGAAGATATAAGCCGCGCAGGCTTCCCAGTACACAATCAGTAAAATTAGTCTGCTTGCCCGGAGCACAGTTTCACCAACTACCCTTCGCAGCCCCATCCTCATCTCTATCTCCATCCTTTCTGCACGTCCCTCTTTGAGTGCGAAATCCCTGTTGCTAGGGACCTGTAAACCGATATTTACACCATCAACCACAGATGTGAGTCAAGCGTGGAAAAGGTTTATCTCGCTCACCAAAGTCTCACCTCCTTCGCAGCCCGGATGCCCTGCCCAACTGTAAAATTTACTTTGCAGCCGGTCAGCCAACCTCATGCCCAGTACAGAAAATCACCCAGCCCTGAGAGTGGCACCTCTGAAAACCAAAGGTGTCCAACAGCAGTCGAAACTTACACGCAGCCAGACAGTATTGCTGAGCCTATCCATCACCTTTATACATCGCCACTCAGAATATCTGCTATCGCTTCTCTGGTTGGTCCAACTCTCACACTCGGCTAACCTCTTACGGAACAATATTACACAGTGGTCATATATTAGTCTGCATCTTCTTTCTCCTTTAAACTGCAAGACTTCTTGAGGTAGAGACAGAAAAAGGAAAGGCATGTCTGGGAAAAGGAAGCCTTGAAATTCACCTGTTGTCCCTGTGTTTTAAATAGGCCTACATCACATTGCCATGCTTTAGAATAATAAACCCTAATAATAAAGGATTGCTAAGCAATATGACCATGCATATTCTCCAGATTGTGGTGGAAATTAAGTTCTGGAATTTTTTTTTTTTTTTTTTTGTCGGTCATGGGACTTGAACTCTGGGCCTGGTCCCTGTCCCTCAGCTCTTCAGCTCAAGGCAAGCACTCTACCACTTGAGCCACAGCGCCACTTCTGGTTTTCTGGTGGTTAATTGCTGACAAGAGTCTCAGGGACTTTCCAGCCCTTGTTGGCTTTGAATTGTGATCCTCAGATCTCAGCCTCCTGAGTAGCTAGGATTACAGGCATGAGCCACTGGTGCCCACAAGTTCTGGAAATTCTTGAACAAGATTTTAAACACAAATGGGAACATAAAATTATATAACTACTATGAAAAATTAGAATGGCAATTTCTTATAAACATGCTTTAAAAAAAAATCTTCAAGTAGGAAGTGGCGCTGTAGCTCAAGTGGTAGAGCGCTCTTGAGCTGAAGAGCTGAGGGACAGCTCCCAGGCCCAGAGTTCAAGCCCCACGACCGACAAAAAAAAAAAAAATCTTCAAGTAATATCCATATCCTGCTCTGAGATGCCACCGACTAATGTTCTAAAGAGGCTCTAGCTGTCCTCTAGCTTGGTAAGGAACAATGTGAAAATGTGAAGAGACCACCTGAAGGAAGCCTGGAATGCCAGACCTGTGAGTATTGCTTTTGTGACTTTCCAGACCAACTCAATCACCAGCTGAATGTAGCAAAGGGACACCAGCCAATGCAAAGTGGGGCAGAAAAACCGCCTCATCACATCCTGTCTGAATTCCTGACCCCATTCCTGAGACATGATAAGTTGTTGCTGTAAGCCACTAAATTTGGGGTGATGGTTGGCTTTGCAGCTAACAACTGAAATAAGAAGAGTAAGAGAAGAGTATGAGCTTATAAACAAATATAAAATAGGATGATGGTTAGAGACATAAAACAGACCAATAGAGGGATTACTAAAACACTGCATTCTGGAGCCACAGAATTTGTATTCAGATTTCACCTTCAGCATTTGGCTTTGTGACATTGGTACAAGTTATTTCACTTCTGTATGCTTTAATCTTCTCATCCATAAAACAGAGTAGTAACAGGACCCACTTTGGAGGTGGTGTGAGGATTAACTGGTGAAACATGTGTGATGTGCTTAGAATGACGTCTGGCAAACGACAAATGCTCTATGTGGTCAGGTATGTGGTACAAGTCTCCAATCTCAGGGTGAGACAGGAAGACCAAGAGCTGAAGGCCAGCTGGAGCTATATAACAAGCAAACCAACATGTAGTGGTGATATTAGTGAGACTAAAGAAAAGTAAAATAATCCAAAGAGAAGGGTACTATTTTATGTAAAGGTGGATGGCAAATGTCTGTCTTCTAAGAAGATTCCTGAGCAGAGCCCTAATAGGAAGTGATGGCACGAACCATGTGGCCATCTGGCGGTGTGGGTAAAGGAGGCAGGTAACTGAAAAGGCAAACAGGACAACGATGTGACTGTTTCATGAGGCAAGAAAGGAATAAGAAAAGGAGTCAAGCATGACGGGGCATGCCTAGAATCTCGGAACTGGGGAGGAAGAGGCAGGAAGATGGAGAAGTTAAGACCAGCTGCAAAGTGAGACACTGTTTTGTTTTGTTTTGTTGTTGGTCATGGGACTTGAACTCTGGGCCTGAACACTGTCCCTCAGCTCTTCAGCTCAAGGCTAGTGCTCTACCACTTGAGCCCCAGCGCCACTTCCAGTTTTCTATGGTTAAGTGGAAATAAGAGTCTCACAGACTTTCCTGCCAGGGCTGGCTTTGAACTGTGATCCTCAGATCTCAGCCTACTGAGTAGCTAGGATTACAGGCAGGAGCCACCAGTGCCAGGCTTTGTCATTTTTTTTTAAGTCTTAAAAAATGGATTAAACGTTTGGGTAAAAGATCAAGTACAATGACTGGATAGTGAGGCAGACATTTGCTCTGCCAGTACATCCAACATGGGCAAATCTTTGGAGGGCTTCGGCCAGAGGCTGCCATCATTGGGCTTCCTACACAGTGGAGAACAGCATAAGAGTAGAAGAATGGAAGTAAAGAGGTCTGTAAGCTGCTGCTTTACCATCACGAAGAGGAGAAGGTAAAAAGGAGTTAGATCTTAGATGCATTTCACAGACAGAACCTACAGTGTGTGCTCACAGATGATGAGCTTTGAGAGTAAGAGAGGACTTGAGGTCTGAATTGTTTGTAAAAAATAAGTAGAAAACAAAATGCTTAAATAAGGATACAGGTTGACCCATCATAACAATGAGATGTACAAAACACTATGTTGAAAACGAATTTTACAACTTCGGCTGTGGGAGGGGGAAGGGTGAGTAGTTGTGGAGGTGGGAGGGAAGGGATGGTAGGGGGAAAACAAAAGAGGAGGCAACAAAGCTTAAGGAAAGAAAAAGAAAAGAACTGGGCCCATGAGTGCTAGCAATAAAAACTAGAGTAAGATCATATGAGGCCCTCGACAGAGGGATCAAAATGAGTAACAAGGAAGTACTGGTTCTAGGCTCCCTTCTTTTGTGTGTGTGTGTATGTGTGTGTGTGTCTGTATACACACACACACACACATATATATATACGTATATACATATATATATATATATATATATATATGGTGTGCCTTTACGCATATATGTAAATACTATTATTTAAATTGGCAGTCATTTATTAGGACTCCAAAAGGAGCTGGTGGCTCATGCCTGTAATCCTAGCTACTCAGATCTCAGTGCAGGCAGGAAAGTCTGTGAGACTCTTATATCCAATAAGCCGCCAGAAAGCCAGAAGTGGTACTGTGGCTCAAGTGGTAGTGTGCTAGCTTTGAACTGAAGAGCTGAGGGATAGCGCCCAAGCCCAGAGTTCAAGCCCCACAACCACCACCACCAACAAAATAACCAGCAAAAAGCAAGGCTGGAAGTGTGGCTCAAGTGGTAGAGCACCAAATAAGCAAGTAAGCAAACCAAGTGAATGCGAGGCCCTAACTTCGAACCCTGGCTTTGGGGGTGGTGGAAGGAGGGAAGGAGGAGTGGTTAGGTCAGTCTTGACTTCTCTTTCTGAGGAGACTTTTACCTCTAAAACAATACCTTTCTATTCTAATGAACTTTACTATTCTTCATAAATATCACGATTACTCTCATTTAAAAAAAAAGAAATGGGTGCTGATATTCTAAGTGGCTGAGATTTCAGACAAAGGTGCCCACCCACCTCTCACGGACAGCTGGGAGTACTTTATGTGGAGTTCAACTTCATGACCGAAATGAGGAGCAAAGTCCCACTGATGGCATGTAGTCTAAATTTGGGGGATGATTTAGATGGAATGCTTCTATTCATCTTCTACCAAAAAATAATGGATTGAATGACTAACCACCAGATGCAGGTAAGCAGATGCTAACCTGTTATTTTTAGA